AAATGAAAACTATACGATACAATCACGGGGGTTACAAAGAAGATTGCACTCAAGAATTTAACAAATTCTCAGGATCTTACAGATGATTTTTTACGAGAGGTAAATTTCCATTATTTTATGTTTATTATTACATTTTACCTTATCATTTTATAACATTTTAGATTAAAAGTCACCTTAAATGCTCAAATCTTGAGCTAATTGGTATAATGCAAAATCCAAAAACAGAGGATTATATGATGGTTACATGGTTTGCTGATGAAGGAGATCTTCGAAACTACATTAAGTTGAATTTTAAACAAATTAAATGGACTGATAAATTATTTTTGTTATATAGTATAGCTCATAATCTGCTAAAAATTCATCGGGAGGGATATACTCACAGAGATCTTCATAGCGGTAATATTTTGCAAAGAAAAGGGTTTCTCGGCTATGCACTATCATATATTGAAGATTTGGGATTATCCCAGCCAGCTGACCGATCACCAGAAGTTAATGGTGTTTACGGTATATTACCTTATATCGCACCAGAAGTTTTACACAAGCATCCATATACATTGGCATCAGATATTTATAGTTTGGTGGTTTTGATGGCAGAATTGACTACCGGCATAGAACCATTTGACAATATTCTGCATGATATCGGTCTGGCATATAGAATATGTAGAGGTTTGCGCCCTGAGTTTGCTAAAGAAACGCCAGAATGCTATATTCAATTAGCTAACCAATGTATAGATGCTGATCCTTCTAACCGGCCGACTGCAGAAGATGTTAAAGAGAAGGTGTATTACTGGCATAAGATTTTAAAATTTGGTGCAAATAATGATGAACAAATTAAGTATAAAGATTTATTTGAAAACGGAGATAAAATTATTCAAACACTATCAACAACTTCGCAGAAACACCCACAAGCTGTATTTTCAAGTAGATTGCTTGAATATCAAAATCTTCCTAAGCCGATTAACTCAAATAATTATGGCAAGTAATATAATTCTATTGTTCAGAATGAAAAAACCGATGATAAACACAAAAGTAGTTGTCCGGAAGTTCAATAAATTTAAGCCAGCAAGGATCAATACTACTGTATTTAATAATTAAAAATTTTCAGCATCTCAAGTTAAGGACATATAAACTTAATAATTGGTTCTCATAATGATAATCTGGAGTGGTCAAATTCTGCAGTTTTTATGTTTTTTATATTAAAAATTTTTTGAAATAAAATAAAAGCCGTTGTTTTAAATGTATTAAAAATTTGCTCTCCAAACTTCAAATTTTTTGATGTTTGTGGATATTACTAATAAAAATCATTTTTTTCTAATAGAATATTGTAACAGTCGTACGAAAAATATAGAAATTTCTGATAGTATGTTGTATTTTAATAAAAGACTTTTAATCGTTATTTAATTAAGATTTCTAATCTTTATTTATTTTTTATTTTTTTTGTATTAAAACTACAAATATATATTAGATGATTTTTAAATTAAACAAGGGTCGCATTGCACAGAATGCAGCCGCTGTGAGCTATTTTAATTGAGAATGCAAATATTGATATGTAATATAGACTATTGATTTCTTTTATGATTACTTGACTTCTAGGAAATATTTATAATAAAATAAATATACTATACAATATTATAAAATAATAATTAATTTCTTGGTTATAGGGGTTTTTAGTATGAAGAGCAGTAATAATTCTTTGGTATCAACAGGAGTCTTACCAAAGATCCATATTATAGAAAAAATAACAGATAAAAGCATATGTTTGAGAAGTCATTTTGATTTCTCTATTAATGGTAAATCTTAACCAAGTAGCACATCTCTATTAAAAAAATTGGTGTATATTTTTGATCCAAATTTTTTTCGCATATTAGTTCGGTCAGTATGTATACACATCAAGAGTGAAAGCACTATTGATCATTAAGTTGTTGCAATTCTTAGTATTAAAATTTAACCAATTAGCACAACTCGAATAAAAAAAGATAGCTTCAACTTGAGATGGGCAAAATCTTCTCTTTGAGCAGATCATTTTGGTAGTTAAACCATCTGAATTGGTCCAGTAAATCAAAAGATATTTACTATTAAATATTTAATAGTAAATAATCTTTGATCTACTGAACCAATTCAGGTGATTTGACTACCAAAATGATCCTCTCTTTGAGTGGATTCTAACAAGCCTAAAATCACAAAAATCCAATCACTAGATCCTGAGGTCGATCTAGATTTGTATACTATCATACTGTATATACTATATATTACTATATAATATAGTATTCTGATCTCTGGATCCTGTGATTGGATTTTGATGATTTTGACTTGTTGGAATCCCCACTCTATGGGGATCATTTTGGCAGTTAAATCATCAAAATTGTACCAGTAGAACAAAAGTTATTTATTATTAAAGTTATATAGGATTTTTGCTAGAATTTTTTTTCTAAAAATAGATTTATTATGTTTTTCTTAATAAAAATCTTGTGTAAAAATGGCTCGTAGGGTCATTTTACTAGCAAAGATCCTATATATATATTATTATATAAAATTTAAAATAAATATGAAATTTGATTGGCTAATGGGGTGTCAAGTGTGGGTGGGTGGGTTTGGCCTCAGGCAATCTATTAATAAAAATAAATTAGCTGATTTCTGGAAGCTCTCTAACTTGTTAATTAGGTTTTTATCTGAAAAATCAAGCTCTTCTGTATATTGATAACCAATTCCAAAAGATTATAAATACTTACATAATTATCAAACTTTATTGCTTTTTCAAAAAAGATTTGCCAGATGTTCTATAGAATAGGTAGGCAATATAGAAAATAAACACCGCTAATGATTAGTAATTATTAATAGATATTTAGTGAAGTTGCAGAGTTTGTGGAGTCTGCTCATCTATTTTATAGAACATCTGATTTGCTACTATTAATAATGATTCTCTAACTTATTATACATTTTACTATTTGTATCATCTTCTTGTACAGAAATCATAAAATGATTTTGTGTTCAAAAAAGTAAATTTCTATATTGATTAAGTATTAAAAGATCTGATATATAACATCCTGTATCTAGAAAAAATACTGAATTTTTTTATTCACTACTTTATATCATATTACTTCATCATAAGCAGTTAATGCCAAATTATTGAGATATATTCTCTATTTAAAAAAGTACTCTTATTCTTGATTTTATAAAGTGAAAAAAAGTAGATGCAGCTATTGTAGCTATTAATGTATTAACAAAAATATTGTTTGTATTATTTTTATAAGTATTATAATAAGTGAATAAATATAGCTTGATTAAATAATTTTCATATCTAGCAGAAATAACCAATTTAGTAAGTAAATAGAATAATTTTGTCTTATCAAAATAGTTTTTAACCAATTATAATAACTCTTCCTAACGATCACCTGGACTAAAATTTTCTGCTAAAGAAAAACCAGAACTACTTGTTGGAGAGTCATGGCCTATACAGTGGTTTGTCTAGAGGTCAA